ACTGATGATTGATGCATTTACAATCATTTGAACACTCATCTACCAGCATTTTGGTCTCCAGTACCTCACTCTTGGGCATTGGCAATAGATGCATCCCGTCAGGACTGGACTAGATTGCACCTCTATGCCTACCCACTGATTTGTCTGTTATCCAGGGACCTAGCAATGATTCGTTCCCTTTTCACATTCTGTTGGTAGCACCAGATTGACCAGTTCAACCCTGGTTTCTACTTTTGCAATACCTTCAGGAGTGCCCACCTCTTCCACTTCCTCTTTGCCTGACTCTGTTGAGGCAGCCACAATCTGACATCTTACACCCATCTATCTTGAAGCTCAAGCTTCATGCATGGAGGTTATGTGGTGCTTTGCACAGCATCAGGGTTTAACTTCTTAGGCTGCCATGTACCTGTCTCAGTCTCTACATTGTCCCACAATGGATATTTATTAATGTAAATGGCACACACATCGACAATGGTGTATTGCGAGGAGGTTGAATCAACTTTGTTCAGATATGCCAACCACAGCTCAGTTTTTGATCTGTCTCTTTGACAAGGGTTTCGCATCTTCCACAATCACCCAATGTAAGATACTTGAAGAGATGGAAATTCTTTGAGTCTCCAGTGCTCCTCGACCTCCTCAAATCATGTAGGGTCTTTCTTCACAAAACACCATTTCAGTTTGGGATGGTGGCAGCCAAAGAAGGGGAATAAATCCTTTTCACCAATTCATCTGACCACCATTTCTCACCTCTATGACCGATCAGGTTCCGATCATTTGTTATGCCCAATGAGGGCCTTGATGTGTCATGTTACCCACACTGAAGCTTTTAGAGGTGCTAGACAATGGCTTTTTATTCATTGTGACCCTTCAGTTTCCTGGGATTTATTCCTGGTTACCTTGATGGGGTGGGTATGAAAATCGATTCGTATTGCTTATTCTGGGCTCTCTTTGGAGGTGAGGAGACTTCTTCGAGTCACATGTCATCAGATTTGTCACATTTCTATGTCCTTAGAGGCCCAGTTGAATTGCACGCTGGAGGACATTGTGTGGGCTGGTATGTGGACCTCCCCCAATACTTTTATCACACATTATTTGCATGATCTGACAGTATCTTCCTCTGAGGGTTTTTGACTACCCCCTATAGCTATGTTAACCATATCCACTAGATTATAAAGAGGGCTGAGTATTTTCATTACTAATTTTGTCTCTTCTTTCCTTTCCAGGGCTCCTTACCTCTTTTTCACAGGATCCCATTCTGTGGCAAGTATTGGCCAGTCAAGTGTGCTTTTATCAAATGAAATTTGAACTAGCAACCACTAACACATTATACTTTATCTAAGTTGCAACAAGCTCTGTAGAAATGAAGTGTTCCATAAGACTACCTAGAGGCAGACCAGGTGGTATTACTGTACTATGCTGGACTGCATAAATTGGGGTCAGTTTGCTTTTAAAAATTTAGGGAACTTGGTTCACCTACAACACCATTTCCAGAACATTGTTCTTTATGACTCCCCAACACAAATTACCCCCCCCCCCCTGTATTCTACTATTGGAGCTAGGGAGTTCTTACCACACCCAGTTTCAACTCACTGGGATGGTGGAGAGAAGTTATTCCTCCAGAGTGTCAGAGTGACTTTCCTCCACTCTTGGCAAAGTTGGGGCTCTCCTTCCTGGAACCCTGTATATTTTTTACCCAGATGTATGTAAGAGTGGCAGCAGTCTGCATGGGAGACTTCTCATAATACCAGATCAGATTTGATCAATATTGGTTAAGTACTTTGTTCATGGAAGAGGGTTCATTGTCTCCTCCTAATTATTTGTTTCACGTCCTCCCCATAATTCCGAGAGCAAGTGGAATTTACCTTGCCCACATGGATGGGGAATGAGGATGAGTGTTCATAATTCCAGACCAGATGAATTCTGTTTCCTCAGGTTGAGTATGGTGTACTGGACTTCTTCAAGTTGGGAACACGGTTTGTCCTCTTCAGTGTTGTTTACCTTCTTGTCGTGATTCAAGTGGCTCGGAATGCATCACTCTATAGTTACAAGTTGGGATCCACTCTCAAATATATATATATATATTGTGGTCCAAAAGCACTAGCCACCAACATGGGATTTAGGGGCCATGGCTCTATAATTCCAACCCAAAGCAGTGGGACCTTGGCTGCCTGGTTGGGGCCTGGCCAGTGGTGATGAGGGACGATGTCAAATTCTACCCGCAGTGCATGATTTAGGTTCCGGATGAAGAGCATACCTGTTTTGGATGTAGTGCAGTTCCCTCACTTGGGTGCTAATCTTCTGTTGGCACACTCACATTCTATGCAGATGAATTCTGTATGGATAATTCCCTCACCTGCCCCTCTGCCTTATCAGTGTGGGATTCTAGCTGTAGTGTGAGAGGAGGTATGTTTTGGAAATTAGCAATTTCTGAAATTGAAAATGTATTTCCAATAATACTTACCTCTATGCTCCCGCCTTTTCTCCCCACTAAGAGCCAGTGTTAGAAACTAGGAATTGGGCCAGTCTCAAAAAAGTGACAAAATTATCTGAAGGAGGTGCTTATATACAGTACCAGAATAGAGGGTGCACTGACCTAGGTGGAGAATGTCATGAGATAGATAACACCAAGGGCAACTAAGTGTGGAATAAAAGACTGGAGCAACCGAGAAAAAATCACACCAATGCTTAGATGGGCAAACAAAAAAACTCTAACAATCGAGTAATAACTGTTGTGTGTGAGAAGGTAAGTATTATTGGAAATTTACGATTTAAGAAAATGCTAACTTTTCATTCGTATGTGTTGCATGAAAGTTGTGTTGTCAATGTTACTGATTCATTCATGTTATATATATAAGTGACTTTGTAATGTACAACACCATACACACATTTATTCATACACATTTATTGCCATATACATATATTACATATACTACATATACTAGTATTATTACATATACTAGTAGCTTAAGACAGACTGCCTGTGACTCCATCAGACATGTTTTCTTGTCATTACAAAATAACACTGACAGAATTCAGCCAAATTAAGACTTCCTGCTAAAAGTATTTTAGCCAGAATTAATATTTGTGCTGTCGTTACACTATATATCAATGTACACTCAGATCAATCTATGCTAAACACAATATTCCACAGTAAAATAAATTTACTGCCCTAAACAGTCACCAGTACCTGTATCTGAACTAAAAAGATATTGAATCACTTTTCATGAGTTGATCCACTCACTACAATTGGCATCACAAAAACATTAATGTAAATAAATCAAATGAAACAAAGATTATTCCATTTAGAATCATAACCTAATTCATATTTTGTGCCAAGAAAGAACACAAATTCTTCGTTACACATGGAGGAGTTATATGTACACATTTAAGTGTAACGAGGAAAGTAGTGTGTATAATATGGTCTGCTTCACAAAAATACTTCCACTACTTGGCTAGAGAGATTCTCATGAAATGTTGGAGGACCATTTTATTTGTAGATAAATAGCTTAATAGCTTGGAAAATAAGGATTGCAGCACCTTTTAGCAGTTTTTGAACTTGTCAAGATTGTCTTCAGTCATGTTATTTGATGATATTCTATGCACTGCATTCTAACTAATAATTTGCTGATGATATTAAGGCCTACGATGTTGCTAGTTGTGAGGCGGATGCTGCTGCTGCTTTACAAAAGGATTTATATAGTTTGATGAATTAGGCAGATGGCTTTTAATTATAATAACTGCAAATTAACGTGTGTGGGTTATAATTTGAATTATAAGTGTAATATTTATTGAATTAAATTTAACAGTATTACAGAAGAAAATTATATTGATGTTCTCGTTGATCAGTTTTTTAAGCCATCCAAGCAGTGTTCTGTTGCTAGTGGTAATGCCTAGGTTGACCATTAGATCTTAGATTTTATGGTATTTGTTATGTTAGTTGAGCAGTTATCACCTGATATTTTGTAGATATCTCACAAAGGAATTCTGCTCAATAGCTCAAAAAGCAGGGGTTGCAACACCCTTTTGGTCCCATTAATTTTGCAGTTAAAAAATCATCTTAACCTTATAATAATCAAGTGACAATCACACAATTCAGTGCAAACATTTCATAGTGAAAGCCACTTCATGGCTCAGAAAGCAAGGAATGACACATTCTTTCAGTCATTGATGATACAATAAAGTATTTAAAGTTAAGTTCATTTTGCCCAAGTTACCTATCTTCCTGGATCGTTCACTTGCAGTATTTCATTTGCTTTCTTGTGGGAAAGGTTCCCTGATCGTACTATGTAGAAGTGGATAGGGATCTTTTGCATTGGCAGTCTAGGTGATACCTTGAGGTAACAACCTCTGTTCTTTTGTGATGTAAATGACATTTATTTAATAATGTGGACACTATATATATATATATATATATATATATATATATATGTATTAGTAACTGCTCTTTGACACTTTGATGCAGTTATTTGATAGATTTCAGTTGAATTGCATTAGAGACATCACAGTTTGTGATTGATATATTTGTATGAGGTGCTATCTAACCTATATTCTTCTGAGAAGTATATGCATTCAGTTTAATAAAATACAAATCAAGATTGCAAAGGATCATTTAGGCCATCTTGTTAACCCCTTTTACCAACCAAAATAATCAAAATCAAAACTCAATTTTCCATTACAAACATATATGTACATCAAACAAACATAAAAAATGATTTGAAATAACAGGGAAGAACTTTGAATATTCTCTATCAGAAGGCACAAATTTGTATCTGGTAGAGCAATTACGTGTAATAGATTTAACTAAATTATTTGGTTAATTTTTGTTTTTACACAGAAAAAAAATTTGTTATTGAGAATTTTTTTGAACAACTTCGGTAATGACCATCATTAATCAAAATGTGTACAAGTCAATGCGAGTCTTGAGGTAAATTACATACTTATAGGTGATTTTAGGAAACTTTCTTATACACACACACGAATAATGCTTTTCCTTATTATAGCCATACAGTTAAACTTCAGTTATTTGATCCTCTGTAATCCAACATGATTTTACGTCAACCAAACTTCCAGGATTTTGGTTCGAGGTATGGTATGGATGTCAAAAATATCAGGTAAAAGTTATTTTTTTTAAATTTAGGTATTTTTGTGTTTGTGTACAATTTTGTTAGTGATTTAAACAATGGTACATGTGTAGGTTTATTGTACTCCTGATCTGAACAGAAGTTAATTATAAAATCAAATTTGTAATAATCTACTTTTTCATTTGTCCAAATGAATAAGAATACTGATATAAATTCATTATTAATTGCTTTAAAATGAACTATATGACAAAACTTGTAACAAACTACTATTTCAGTTTTCCAAATGACTAAGAATATTAATACTATGTTCGTTGATAAATGCTTTAACAAGAAACAGTTGAAATTTCTGTCTTTTAAAAGAAAATGTGTAACAAGCTACTGTATCAATTATAATGGCTTAGAAAACTGATACAACGTTCTTTGATAAATGCTTTATCATGAAACACAGTGGGGGTGAGAAACTTGTGTTATTCATGCAACATTTATTTTATTTGGCCTATGACTGTTTTTTTTCATCTCTCACTATTTCGTTTATTTTATTTGCTTCTTGCAAAATGCTTATAATGTTAGAACTCTTATTTTCATATCCCTTTTCAGACATTGTTCTCAGCCTTTCGAAAGGTCACTCTTGCATTTTAAAAAATGCATTATGTTTTGAAAATGTATGTTAGGTATAGTAATTTGTAACGGAAAAATATTTTAGAATTAGTATTTTCTGCTTTTTAAACATTTATGTAGTGTAATTCACAAAACAGTTACAACTTTCATTTCTATGCATCTCTCAAGAGTCTTATTTGTAAAGAATACACCAATTTCTACAAAATTTGTCTGCCCATCCTAAAGTATATATTTTTATTTGCCAAGAAACCATTATCTCTTGAAAATATAATTACCAAGTCTTTTTGTCTTAAGTGATTTTTATTACTATATGTTTCTGTCCTACCCTGCTATGATGTCCCAACATGTGGGCTGAACAATTACTAATGAAGTACAGCTTTGTAAATAGTTATAGGTGTAACATTTAAATATGATAGAATAGAGCAGATTACAAACTCTTTGCATCAATATGCAGTAAATAAAGTGGCTTGAGCAGTAATATATTGTTGCGTCAGCGAGGTCACGTGACTAGTGTCACGCCACTCGTTCTCTCGAACCTTCGGTAATTGTCGGAAGATTACTAGATGTAGGGTTGTCTGGTATATATATAT